TGTTTATATAACACGTGACAGCTGCACCTTAATTTTTTTTTTGATTGTGGAAGCATCGAATGACAGTTCATTTGAAAGGGATTAAAACTCTCCGTTCAATGTTGCAAAAAACTTGAAATGTGGATAAATAGTTTTTTGAGAAATTTAATATTATTGGTTTGAAAAATAAGTAATCTTCTCCGTGAATTTTTAAATTTGAAAAAACGAGCATTACTTATTCTACTATCTATCGTGTTCTCATTTGTTATGGTCTTTTTGTTCTAATCGTATATTGTATAGCATTCTTGTAGTGTTTTTTCTTTACTGTATAATTATATAAAGAATGATGAAATATTATTCGTTTAGCCACAGACAAAATAGCTATCGCCCAGCTATATTGTCTGTGGTTTAGCTGTTGTTTAAATTACTATTCAGTCGAAATTATGTTCGTAAAAATATAATTTAATGAAATGCGGTTCTTATCTCATATAATGATTTTATGAATGATTCAACGAATTAAACAAATCTACAAGCGACTGTTTGTGACAGATACATAGGTTGTTTCATCTAGTTACTCAATTAACATGATGAAAAGGTTTTAATCATTACTGAATTGAAATATATCTATACAGACTGTTATGTGTTTAGATAACAAACCGGGTTTATGGAAAAAGAGGATTTGAACTGACAGTGACAAGGTAATTAAATTTAAACATGTTCCATTAACGAATTTAAGGGTTCTTTTATTTCACAATTTTTTAGATTATTTTTCAATTGTCAAAACGAATTTTCTTGTCATATTTCATCAGTTCGCTTAACAAGAATAATATCAGATACTTTTTTATAACTCTTTCAATTTTAAATTAATAACGTCATAAAATTTTAAAATAAATCAATCTGTTTAAGTTTAACGCTTGACAAAAGAAGCAAAAGTAAATCGCAGATCTATTGCCAATCAGTGTCAACCGGTAAAAGCATTTCTTTCACGTTATTTCTCTAATACATGTCTGGAGAGATTTTATCAGAAACCTCTTCCTTAATTTGCTTTAAATTTGATATCGTCTTCTAAAGCAAAATCAGGATGCGGTAAATCTAATTTTTGACTGAAAATTTGAACATGCATCGAGTAGAACCAAAATTTGTTCCTCGTTTGATGTTCGAACAACAGAAAGAAAATCGTGTGGATGTTTGTCGGCAACTTCTTGATAAAAAATTTATTCAAAGGATCATAACGGGAGACAGAAGCTACGACATTGAGACAAATTTTCAATCATCACAGTGGATAGACAAAAGATCTCTACGCCCCAAAAGCACGTCAAAGTGATGCTCACTGTTTTGTGCATTTTGAATTCTTGCCTCAAGGTGAAACAGTGAACCTTGTGTACTACTATCAAGGTGTTTTACAACGATTACGTTAAAGAATCCGCAAAAAGAGACCAGAGTTGTGGCGAGACAACATGGTTCTTACATCATGATAATGTGCCTGCACGCTGAGCTTTGTCAGCTCGTCAGTTTTGTGCCAAAAATCAGATTACTGTCCTCCCTCATCCTCCGTACTCACCAGACCTGGCTCCTTGCGATTTTTTTCTCATTTTCAAAATTAAAATCGGTGCTGAAAGGACGTCGTTTCCATTGATTGATGATATTAAAGCAAATTCGTCATAGACTTCAAAGGCCATTTCAAATGAAGCTCTCTAGGAGTACTTCGAGAAATGGAAACACCGCTAGGAAAAGTGTGTGAATAGGGGAGGGCAGTGCTTTGAAGGATAAAAGTACCAATAATGAATAAAAGTTTCAAAAAATAAAGTTGGGTTATTTTCTGAACAGACCTCGTATGCTTCAACGGATTCATTACAAGTATTAAATCTGATGGCTGATTTTGGTTAAATTGTGTAAACACTTGAAAAAACCTTGAACTAACACGTTTTGTCTGTCCTCGGAAAAACACGTGTTCTCTGTGCAGGAAGGCAATATCAAATTTAAAGCCAATTAAGGATGGGATATGTGACGAATGGACTCCAGACGTATTAGACAAAATTAGGAAAATAACGTCAGAGATATTTTTACCGCTTGACATTGATTAACAACAGATCTGTAACTTACTCTTGCGTTTTCTATGTCATATTTCTAATTTTATGGATATACGTGGTTTCAAACTTAAATAGATGTACTCTATTGTGAATACGCACGGGGTCATTCACGTAATATTTTATCTTAATTATTTTTTTACGTTTCAAAAAAATGGTAGACAAAAGTTTTAGAAAATTTTCTCGCGACTTCGATGCAATATATAAAAAACAATTGATTACATTTCGAAGATACAGACCAAACTTTTGATTTTTTAAATATTTTTTTAATGGAAGATCCTATATATTTATTCTTTTTTCAAATACTCGATTATTTCTGATTACAATGACATACATGTCATATATTTGTTTTGATTGCACAATATTTTGGTTTATAATTAACACAATTTGGTTTATTATTATCAGCATGATTTGGTTTATTATTAGCACAATTTTGTTTATTATTATTAGCACAATTTGATTTATTATTATTGGCACAATTTGGTTTATTTGTCATAAATTTGTTTACCTATTATTAGCACAATTTGGTTTATTATTATTTTTTAGCACAATTTGGTTTATTATTAGCACAGTTTGGTTCATTAATATTAGCACAATTTGGTTTATTATTATTAGCACAATTCAGTTTATTATAATTATTTAGCACAATTTGGTTTATTTAACACAATATTTTGGTTTATTTAGTGATCCTGCATATGGTCAAGATTGCTATGGAACCACTTTGTCTAGAATAGGTTGAATATATTACAAGACATCTTGTATAATAAACTGTTTTTTCTTAATAAAGAATTTAAAGTACCGTTGATTAAATTTACTATGTGCGAAATTAGTAAATAAACCAAAATTTTATGAAAACTGTCAATGAGAATACCATCATATGGCAAAAATGACAAATATATAGGATATTTAAAAAAAACGTGGCACCAACCCGGAAATTGTTTAATCACTTTTCAGTTAATGCTATCCACATCTAAAGTACTAAAATGAGAGTTATGTTAAAATCGATTAATAATATTTATTTCTCTCGTTTACCCCTAATTTAATTTTGAACTTGTCATCACAGTCTACCTGAGTCTGAATAATACTCGTTTCACGTTCCCCATTACGAATATTTCATATAAATAATTCCGAGACAAACTCAGGAACATTTAAATTTTAAAACCCGAATTGCAAAGTTGTGCCCGTACCAGCGGCGATAATTTAAAATGCGTATAATCGTCATAATTTACGTGGCTATGACAGTATTGCTACCAAATATCTCAATTACTATTAGAGCTATATAATGGAAAAACTTCGTTACAATGTTTGGATAAAAATATAATGATCACAAATTATATGTCGAATATATAATACAAAAATCTTTAATTACAGGATGATTTTCATTTAATTAAGTAATATCATTAATTAATTGACTATTTTTATAAGACTCTGTTAATACTTAAGTGCACTATATAGCGTGACCAAATGTGTATTGTCCTCGAGATGCACATTGCACAGATCAAGATGAGAGACCTTAGTAGGACAGGTACTTTCTATGAAAAATATTTACTTAAGCCTGGGAAATGTATGTTATTTAATAAAGGTCTTCGGAGCCCTTTGTCGTTTTAATTTCACCAAGCATTTTCAAGTGTGCAAAGCTTGAATGTATGTCTTATCCGTATAAATAATTGGCCGACCCTTTTTCGGTACTGTTTCATTCTTCTTGAATGTCATGTCGTTCTATTAATTTGTTTTGCCGGATTCTATGGTGTGCAAAAGCTTACCTAAACTTTCCCTGCTGTTAGTATATCCCATATCTCCATGAACGTTCTAAGAATATATTTAAGTGTAGGTAATTTATTTTTTGAACATACAGTAATCAGTAATACTACACAATCGAAGTATTTCCATAAAACTATATTTTAGTTCATTGATACACATATTACCCCGAACATAATGTTACCAACCAGTTACAAAGAAATATAAAAATGTAATAACTATTTAAAATTTATATTTGTTAAAAAAGTCAAATGATAAATGTTTCATTTATGGTTTCCAAAATATCTATAATTCATATGTTTTGTATAACTATGTAACTATTACAACGCAATAGAATAGCAATACATTGTATTCAAGGATCGTAATATTCATGCAATAAAAATCTACAAGGAGAGAATTTTAAACGCATTGAACTAAAAATAGCGACACGCGATAAATACAAAACTCAATGATTCACATTCCAGAAGAAAATAAATCAGCTAAAGAATTCAAAAATAACTGAAGAACTCTTATACATTTTATAGTTAAATAAGAACACGACTTTTAAAAATATGATTTAATAATAAAGAACCTGTCCCACAAGATTCCGTAATTCCTAATTGTTTTATCAATGTTGTCTTAGGTCAATTTTTATTAAAATAAATCTTCATTATTACAACCGGCGCCTCCGCCAAAAATTAAACATATTTTTTGATGTGATTTTTTTCTATTTACCTTTAAAATAGTATATAGAAAATATAGCATATAGGCACATAGTTTACAAATAACCAAATACCAAAGCTGCAATTCAAATTTGAATTAAACTACCTCAGTCGTCTCCTTGTAATTAAAAAAAAAAATTCACATCCCGTACCTCGAAAACGGTGCCCTTCCGAACACGTATTTATAGAAACTTTTTTGTTAATTTGAGAGGTAGGATTCGTCAAGCGCTTTAGTGGCACCCTGTACGGTCTTCACAATTTTGAATAACAAAGTTACCGTATCAGCATATCATTAGGGGTACATTTTTCAATAAATATTCTAACAGATTTTCAAGCTTATGCCTGCAAATCCTGCAGCATTTTCCTAGCTCAACATAGATTTACATGTCATTTCATCCAATATTTTGCCGTGGAAATAACACCGATTCCAATATTTGGATTTTATGCTAGAACTAACGGTTTATCTTTGTTCCAGAAGAAAATGGTAGTTCTGTAACCGCTACTATTACAGATGACCCTATAGATCTGAAAACTTTTATGAAAATATGTGAACAACGCAAGAAATTTCCAGTTCTCTATAAATTAGAATTTGAGGTAAGTTTTTATTTGTATTAAGAATGTAATGATTTGAATATTTACTTTTTGTTTATGCATTAATTTAAGATAATTATAACAAAATCCGTGTTTAAGTATACGTACAAAAAAAATGTACATTATTTGCGGAAAGGTATTTCAAAATATTTGTAGCACTATTGTTGGCTAGTATATTGTATAGAAAATATGACTAACTACAATTTAAGTTATATATTCTTTTAAAACATGTTTGAAATCATTTTTGATCTTGTTGTTGATACCAGTTTTTAAAATCCCATTGATGTAACTTTTTTCTCGCATAATTTCATAAACATAAGCACAATGATATTACGTAAACAGAGCCCTGATAAATGATTACAAGCCACGTGATCAGTAATTAAATATGATTTAGGGATTTTTAGTTAACAGTAGCAATTGTGCAATGTTAATTGTCTAATATCGGCCGTCACGTGACTTGTAATCATTTATGAAAGCTCTGTATAATAATACAAAGGCGTAAAAAAGTTATTATTTCGCATCTACTCAAGGTCTAATATACACACCTTAAAATTTTAAATAAAATCTCAACAAGGAGGTAGAAATAATTATTGTAGAGTTAAATTTTCCCACAATTAAAGTGATACATTTTTTATATAATTATACGAAAAATATATTTTATGATCAACTACATAAATATAGCAATGTTTCTATTTTCTCCAAGAGATTGATATTTAATTATTTAGAAAGGAACATATATCAAATTTTAACAAAAAAACGTTTACATCGGACTTGCGAAATAATTATTTGTTATTATTCTTATCTGAATTCTTAACAACAATAAACTTAATATTAAGTAAAAAATAAATAAATGTTTATTTAATTGTTTTAGTTAACTGTTTTTCTTCATAAAAAACATAGTTTTCAGTTAAGATATCTAGGTAGGTCAAAATGTAGATAATTATATTATCAGAGACATTTCCAAGGATCCTTTATGAATTATGAGGAAATGAAATCAACGGTCTGACACATATGTTACCGCTTTAGGCCCTTGAATCAAAGGATGCTTGCTTGAAACTGTTAATTAAGTTTCAGTCGATTTAACAATTTAATTTAGATTTTATGTGAAATATACGAAATACATATAACAAATATTTTCAAAATTATATTTTAGTTAGGTACTACAAGGCACTTTCATAGTTTCATTGAAAATTAAAATTCATTAAATTAATTTTTCAGTTAATTGGATGCAGATATAAACATTTTGAAGTACTTTCAAAACTGTATAAAGTAAAGAAACTGCAAAGGAATATTGTTTAGACATTTTTCTTTACTTATCATATTTACCTCACTTCCAACGAATAAACTTATTAATAACGGAAATGTTAACATATAAAAGTTCATATATTGTAGAACATTTTTGTGACAATTATTCTACAATTTTTGTGTAACTGCTCATTTTCTAACTATTTACAGAAAAAGTTCACTTAATAATTAATTAATGTGAATATTTAAATCTATACTAGGTCTGTTCAGAAAACAACCGAACTTTATTTTTTTTAAACTTTATTATTAATTTTATACATTATTGGTCATTGTCTCCTTCAAATCACTTCCCTTCCCTCTTCACACACTTTTCCCAGAGGTGGTTTTCGTGAAGCAGTCCTGGATAGCTTCATTTGAAATTACCTTTAAAGTCTAACACAAATTTGCTTTGATGTCATCAATAGTCTGAAAACGGCATCCTCTCATCACTAATTTTAATATCGGAAATAAGAAAAAATCGCAAGGAGCCAAGTCTGGTGAGTAAGGAGGGTAAGGCAGGACAGTAATCTGATTATTGGCACAAAACTGAGTGTGCGAGCGCATTGTCATGGTGCAAAAATCATGAATTGTCTCGCCACAACTCTGCAGCTCGATTCTTGATGGTGAGAGAATAAAATTCTCCCTGGGGAACGTTCCCTCATTTCGCACTACTACTGTTCTATCACAAAATTCATACTGTATTCTCAACACAAAGGGATCGAGCCGTGAAAGTGAAGAACGGGGAACAATGTTATCAAATGTACCGACCAATCAGAAAGCAGTAAATAGGCGGTAGAATGAAAACTAGTGGTGAGCTAGTTATGAAATAAGTGCTGCTTTGTTCAGAGTTATTGTTATTTGTTTGTCACTGTCAGATGCAACCGAAATAATTTTTGATCAGATAGCATAAATGGATTTGTCCAAGATAGAACTTCCCGTTTAGCAGTTTCTCGCCCTCATCAACTTTCATTCCACAATACTATATTAGGCAGTTCCATTTTATTCTATTATTATTTTATCCGTGTACAATCCTTCAAGTAAACACAAATTAGACGAACGTTTTCTCAAAGTTGTCGAAGGATATCACCACAAAACAGTAACTAGAGATATCAGACAGATTGCGGAATTCGTCATTTGTGAAACATGTCAAAAAAATATAGAGTTAGGTTTAATGATCCCTGCCTGTACCTCCGAAAATTTCATTAGAAGAAATAGGGAACAATTCTTCTATCATTACTCAATAGAACACCATTCATGAATACCGATTAATGAGTTTTAGTAGAGACCCGCCTGCGCCCCCTTTCTCTGGTTCCTTTTATTCCCTATAATTCAAAAATAAAGTCCCCGGTCTATTTTGTGAAGTTTTTCACGTAACCGTTATAAAACGCCTTGATAGTACACACGGTTCACTTTTCACCACCAGAATTCAAAATGCACCATTCCATTAAAGTCGAAAAAAACAGTGAGCATCACTTTAACATTAAATCGAGACTGATGTGCTTTCTTGGAGGATGGAGATCCTTTGCCAATCTATCCTGATGATTGAACAGCTTTCGTCTCCCGTTATGATCCTTTGAATGAATGTTTTATCGTCACTGGATTGTTCAAGAAGTTGCCGACAAGTGTCCACATTATTTTCTTTCATTTATTCGATGATCATACAAGGAACAAATTCTGCTCCAACTCGTCAAAATTTCATGCCATGACCTATCAATTGAGATGTTAACCTCTTCAGCAATTTCTCTTCAGCAGGTGGGAATTATCAGTTGAAGTCGAAGGACTTCCTAGTTGAAAATCATTTTCAATTGGCTAACAACTACTTTTAAATCTTGAAAATCTTTCGCAATATTACGTACGTACGATCCATAACATCATCTCCGTAACCCTATTTCGAAAGTTTAAACGTTTCCATGAAAGTTTTCCGCAGTTTCACGCAAAATTTTACGTTGCATTGTTCCAGAAAATCACACATTTCAAAAATCGTCACTAACACTTAAACATGTTGCAATCAAATTACAATATCTCGAAAACTAAATGAGATACCAACAATCCACGAACATGTGGTTACAGAGGAGGTTATGCGCAAGGCAATTCTGACAACTGCATTTCACTAAATATCTCCATTAGCGCGTAATTCAAGAAGTTAGGATATTTTCTGAACAGACTTGATGTACAGGCTGGTCCATTTTCGGTGGGATTTTAGGGTATCTTAAAAACTACTAAAGATATGATAAATCTGACACCACGTTCTCGAGCTCGATTTTCATGGCAAACTCGACTGTCAAATCAGAAATTTGCTATCTTCATTTGTTTCTCAGTTACAAGAAGTTTCTGGTTATTGTGACACTTTTGAACATGTCTGTATCTCAGCTGTTAAATAAGGTAGAGGTAAAGTGAAAACTGCTCAAGACTTGTTTTGCGTAGAATTGAATGCCGGTATTAGACTTTTAGTAGGTCTTAAGATTCCGGAGTTTTGACCCAAATTTATATTTTTTTTAAATGGAAATATGGTCATGACCTAAAAAAATGGAGATTTTTTTGCTTTTCAGCAATATATCACATGCTATAGTTATTTTTATATATAAATTCCATACTTTTTTACATTTTAATATGGCTGACTATGAAAATACATACAAAACTAAAATTCTTACTTTTACAAAACTCATATCTTTTGTAAAAATATGACGTTTATTTTAAATATACAGTACGCGCCTAAAGTATGGAATAAATTTAGTAAAAACGAAACACATTTTTTTGGGAAAAATCCTCGGATAGGACGATTTTTAATTTAAAAAATACATATTTTAGCATAAAAGGCGATTTTCAACAGTCTTTTGTTTTCGAATAATGACGTCATCGAAATTTTTTTTAAATAGCAACCCCCTATTTTTTTTTCTTGATTCTGAAAGGTCGTTTCATTGTCGATCCGACAGTATTAAAATGTTGCCATCTTACATAGGAAAGTTTTCGAGTAAATGACGATTGAATGTTAGAAAACGTAAATTTTATTTATTAAAAAATAATTCCTATGTCAAGCAAATACAATTCATTAAGTTTTCAACCTAAATTAAGTGTTCGAATTGCCACCCACCGACTTCTTGACAATACGCNATATGATAAATCTGACACCACGTTCTCGAGCTCGATTTTCATGGCAAACTCGACTGTCAAATCAGAAATTTGCTATCTTCATTTGTTTCTCAGTTTCAAGAAGTTTCTGGTTGTTGCGACACTTTTGAACATGTCTGTATCTCAGCTGTTAAATAAGGTAGAGTTAAAGTGAAAACTGTTCAAGACTTGTTTAGCGTAGAATTGAATGCCGGTATTAGACTTTTAGTAGGTCTTAAGATTCCGGAGTTATGACCCAAATTTATATTTTTTTAAATGGAAATATTAGCTGGCCATGACCTAAAAAAATGGAGATTTTTTTGCTTTTCAGCAATATATCACATGCTATAGTTATTTTTATATATAAATTCGATCCTTTTTTACATTTTAATATGGCTGGCTATGAAAATACATACAAAACTAAAATTCTTACTTTTACAAAACTCATATCTTTTGTAAAAATATGACGTTTATTTTAAATATACAGTACAGTATAAGTATGGAATAAATTTAGTAAAAACGAAACACATTTTTTTTGGGAATAATCCTTGGATAGGACGATTTTTAATTTAAAAAATACATATTTTAGTATAAAAGGCGATTTTCAACCG